ATGTATATTTACCGGAACTTTTCAATATATCCACAGAGTTACTCAGCTACCTTGTAGGAGAAAACTGAGATTACTGCCTCCTAAGATAACAGTAAGCAAAATTTCTTTGTACTTAGAATCATAACACCAAATGCTCTCTGCATTTGTTCACACATGCTAAGTACCTGCTGCTTTGCCACTCAGCTGCACATCCTCAGTTCCAGTTTAAAAAAAAAATTATTTAAATGTGCTATATTATAAAGGTATATGTAAATATCAGAAACAAAGCAAAACAAAATCAAAACCACAAATCATGAAAATAGTTTTAACTACTTAAGATGTTTTACCATAAAATAACATTTTACTAAAACTCACTTTAATGTGAAAAGGAGATTGGGATTTCTTTCAAGTAAACTTGGGTATAACTGTTGTGTTGTTTCAATGGCTTCTCCCATTCGTCCTGCTAACACCAACTTCTGAATTCCTATTCAGAAAAGAAAGTAAGATATCAACTCTACAAAAGAGACAGACAACCTTAAATTGCTCCAGAAAAAAAATTAACAGTGAAAACCTCTAAAATAATTATTGTTAAGCTTTCTTTTCCTAAGCAAACTTTGAAATTTAGATTACAGAATCCAAGAAAAAATTTTCAGACATTAAAAATTAGAAAAACAAGTCTCTTCAGAGACTAAAATAGCATGAGTGAGTATGTAAGTGTAGGAAAACATCCACTGAGCAGTATTAGATTTTCAAACAGTAAGATCTAAAAGAAATGACACTAAAAATGTCTTATTGAACCTTATGACTCAGGACTAGAACACCAGCCTTTGAAAAGGTCAGAGCTTTACTAATAAATTAGACACTGAGGAAGTAGAAAGCTCGAGAAAGGTGACCTCTTCTGTGGGACAGAGCGTACTGAGGAGGTGAGACAGACCAGCATAATGTACTACAGTGCGCTGCAACTGGTGCCACTCTGGCCATGGACCTTAAGAGGTCCTCTCACCCATCAGTGTTACCTGTTTGCTCTGCTTCATCTTTCTACTGCCCATCGGCTGGGACCTCCTCCGATGGCTAACTTACATCCACTGCCAGTCTAGTCTGCTGCACCCTAGTTAAACAGCACCAGTATGGACCAGCACAAGGCTCTAAGCAATGAATACTTACGGCCAACACTACTTTAAATTTAGGTAGCAATTTAAATTTCTTTCAAAGAAAAAAAAAATACATACTATCTCCACTAACTCATCACAACTGGAACCAAAACAGAAAAAAACAAAACAAAACAAAAAACAAACAAACAAACAAAAAAAAACATTATTTCATATACTTTCTCCACTACCTCATCAAGACTGGTTCCAAAACAACATAAGAAAACTTAGTATCAAAAGTTTCCTATTTCTTACAGCTTAAGAAGGTTGTCCCACCCCACCTTCTACCCACCAGGGGCTGACACAATACCCAGAGCATCAGGCTCTATCATTGACCTCAATTCCAACCCACAGGAAAGCAGTTTTTTAATGGAAACATGAGAAAGGCATTTATTTCTTTCCAAAGTTCTACAAAATTATCTCTGTATTTGAAACTCTAGTGCATTGGTATTTTTTCCAATAATGTCAGGTCCACTGGGACTGGAGTTACAGATAGTTGTGAGCTGCCATGTGGGTGCTGGGAATTGAACCTTTGGAAGTAAACCCTGGTTCCCTAGAAAAGCAGTCAGTGCTCTTACCTGCTGAGCCATCTCTCCAGCCCTAGTGTAAATTTTTAAATGTTTTCGAAACTGTCAATGAATGTGGCGCAAGGATGAGGCAGGCTCAAGGTTAGCCTGCACTACACGAGACACTGTCTCAGACAAAAGAGCTCCCCATTCCTGGCACAAAATAAAAACACTTACAAAATCGACCCACAAAGTCAATGAAAATAAATCTGGAGGCAGTCACTTCTGAACAATATATTCAGGAAATTTTTAAGAAGAAAAATTTTCTATAAGTTAAAGCAAACCAAACATAATTTAAAAACAAGTATTCATCATGTACCAAGGTGTTCTTACTTTGTCTATTCTTAATGGATGCTAATTCTTCTAGAACAGTCTGGTCTGTAGATCTGGCAAAAGCCTCTGCTGTGGCACAGTACCCATGGTGGACTAAATATGATGAAACCATTCTGAAAAGAAAAAGAGGAAAACACATCTTTTAGTCAACAGAATCATGCATCAGATGACGACAAGCTTTGTTAACAAAGTCTAACCTGCTATTACAAAAATCAATCTATTTCCCTGAAGCCAGGCTCTACAACTTTCAACTTTAAAATAAGTCATGAATAGCCCCCTCCCCCCAAAAAAAACTGAAATAAGGTCAAAGGCATCAAATCATCTTTAAAAAAAAAAAAAAAATTCTTAGATCCCTATTACCCCCTGGTTCCTCATTCATTTTCCTATTATTCAATCCTACTAATCATGATTTCTACCTCACCTTAATTATAGATATCTCAAAGCATGTTAGCTATGTATAAATCACCCAATTTTGAGATAACTGATCAACAGTTGGTGTTCTAGAGTTCCAACTACTTTCTGTGTTCATCAGTCCGGTGAGATGGGATCTCAAAGCGTGAGGAGAGACACTGATGTTAGCCCAGAGAGAGAAGTGCCCAGAATTAAAACCCACTATAGAACAACTGAATAATGAGGAATCAGTCTTGCAGCCAATTTGGTTTTTAACAGAAAAGTATGCATTATTTACAGACAGTGATACATTTCTAAGACAACAATCTTACGTTTTAAAAAGCCCTAAGTGGTTAGAATAGTTAGCCAAACTGGTAATCCAACAAAAATCTGTTACCTCCAACCACTATCTTCTCTAAACAAACCCAAAAAGTTTTTCTTTGAATTTTAAACTCTCTTGACATTTGGACAGATGTACAGTTGACTGTCATAGGAATTGAATTTTCCTGCCGGTTCTTATGAAATTTTACTAAAAAACTCTTCCTAGTAACAGATTTAACACTTACTTTCTTCTCTGCTGCTGGCCATCCTCCATTATTATTAATGAATTCAATGTATTTATGCTGCACTTGGGCTAACTCCACAGTCATTTGCTCCTTGGTCTTCATTCCCTTTCTTATCCTAAGTGTGTCTAATGGTAACTTATAAGAAATAGCATTAAAAATCGTTACTAAGGCTTTTTTTTTGTTTTTAAAATTACATTATTTAATGAGTGTGCATGTACACCCATACAATGGCACACATGGAGGTCAGAGGACAACTGGTTCTCTCTTCTAGTATGTGGGTCCCAGTAACAGAACTCAGGTGAAAAGGCTTGATGGCACAAGCCATCTTTGATGCCCCAGTTATTAAACATAAATTTAGTTTTTGAAGCCTTTTAGGTAGAGAACTACAGTGAGTCTCCCTGAATTTAAAAGCTAAATACAAAGCAAAGAAGGGGCTCACTCCAATAACTAGAGCCACCCTACTAACACTCTCACTGAGAGTGCAACTCACACAACTCATACTGGGAAACAGTGTATGCAGTCTGCCTATACTCCCATACATCTCCACATAGAGAATACGCACGAAACAGCCATTCTTTTTTCTCCATGTGTATCTGAACCACTGATGAAAAAGGCGCTCAAGGTCTTGTCCCTAAATCACAGAACTCTAAACATAAAATCTAGACTTACCTCTAGACTTATCTTTTATCAACATTTCTAAAAATCTGACTGTATAATCTACAGAATTCACTCAGTCATATTACTAATATTAACAAAGGAATTAACTACCTTTATAATCAAATGTCACTATTTCCTCCATCCAGTTAAGTCAGAAACACAATTCTGTAGGTGCTTAACACTATTTTATTTCAACAGACAAACTACTTTTTGAGAGATTAAAATACAATTAGTACATACAAATGATCAGGATTTAAACTAGACTTCAAAACATACATCTTTGAACAACAACAACAACAAAAGAATAGTTTGTTATGAGCAGTTTTCCCACCACCTGGTCCCGCCACGTCAGTCCCAAATGACACACAGAAACACTGTATTAGATATAATGCTGTTGGACAGTTACTAGCATTTCTTATTGGCTAGCTCTGTCTTAAATATTAACCCAGTTATATCAATCTAAGTGCTTCCATGTGGTCTTATCTTACCAGAGAGAGGGTCTGGACCTCTTTACTCTCAAGTCTGTACGTCTTGAATCTCTCTACTACATCTCCCAGAATCCTCCTTGTCTCCTAGTTCCGCCTATCTTGCTTTTCTATTGGCCAACAATAATTTGCCTTATAAACAATGTTTAAATTTGTACATTCAAAATTCCTTGCACTTACTTTTGTATCATGGTCTGCCATTCTCCTTCTCGATCCCCAATGGGAAACCGGTCTATCTGGGCCTGTATTTTGGTTCTCCATTCTCTCATGTAGTCTTCTATATCAAATACAAAAGGATGTTGCCCAAAATTGGCATCAACCACTTCTCCTGGTGTCTGAAGCCCCACAGTAGGATACAAATTTGGCTGTAAGACAACACATTTCTTTAAATATCTATTGACTGCACATTATCTTTGCAATGCAAGAATAGAACCATAAATTTATTTCATGAATACTTTTGAATCTCAATTAAAATATTAGTGGAAGGCAACTAAAAACAGAACATTATCTGTTGAATAAACTTTTCTCAATTCTAATCATCAAACAACTAAGACATGCACATGAATGAGTCTGAGACCATGTTGCATAGTCCAAGTGGCACTGTATTTCTAATACATGAAAAACCTAATCTATAATCTTAATGTCATATTAGTTACAAAGCTTTAAAATTCACATAATTCAGGCTTATCCCAGCCTTTCTATAAGCTACATGTCTACAAAATGTACATTACAGCTAGTTCACAGAAAATGCCATTTACAATTGACTACAATCATTAACAGCACACTTGGAAGCCCTGCCTTTATAAAGACAGTGGTAGAAACTTGCTCTAAGGAAGACATAGTATTATCATGGGGATTTTTTTCTTTCCTTTTTAAAAAAACATGGAATGTTTTGTGGAATTTGCATGTCATCCTTCCACAGGGGCCATGCTAATCTCTTTATCATTCCAATTTTAGGAGATTCTTAATTCAAAATAAAACTTCAAATGTACAATTTCAAAGGAAGAGGAGATAAATATGAATATTCAAACTGAAATGTACTAAAATATACCCTAAGATTTTAAACTGGAAAAAAAAAAAAAAAAAACCCAATGAAAGAAGTAGCTTCTTTTGCTGTCATTAATCCACTAAAAAAGAGACCACATATTGAGTGTTCATTAAATGCCATGCCCACTCATTAGAATCACCTGTGAGATGCTTGTTGCCATTTCACAGATGTACAAGTTAAATGACTTGCCCAGGGTCGCTCTACTACCAACAAAGATAGAACACAGGCTAATACCAGATCAAGTTCCATCTTTATTCCTGTGACTCCAAACCCTCCCATGCCTTTAGTACTTGGATTTGTGCCTTATTTGGGTATCACAAGTATTTTCACAACCAAACAAGGTAAAAATTAAAAGACGATAACAGGAGTGTAATAAGGAATTACAGCAGATTGTATATTTAAAGATAACTGTTCAACAAGTAACACAAACCAGAAACAAAATAGTATGTCAAAATAAATATGAAGTCTTATTATATTATTAAGACATATAGTAAGACAAAGTATTGATTCTTTCGGTAGAGAGATGTGGTTATGTATGTTATACTTTATTAAGACAAGAGTCTCGGCTGCTTTGAATTCATGACACTTTTCCTGCCTCAGCCTTCGAGGTGCTAAGATTACAGGTGTGATCCGTCATACCTAGTTTTTAACTTTTAATAACCAGAAGAAATTTAAAAATTTAAACCTTAAGCAGGCCAGACACTCAATACAGACTTTTCATTTTACTAGAAAACTTAAGACTCAAACAAAACCTGAGAACCAATCCAATAGCATAGCTTGTTAATGGCATCACTTAAAAGAAAGAAATACTGTCTCTTTACTTCTAACATGGCAAATTTTTCACTAAGACCATTACAGAATTGTTAGATAGTTTTCAAACAAAAACATGTTAAGGGGACCACAGACAATGAAGACATCAGTGGAGGGCAAGGCAATTCTGTAATTTCAGGACAAAAACTACAAGCTTAAGGAAACTGATTTACCATGCAGTCACATAAGCATTTAGAAAATAGATGGGCACAAAATTCCTTCTTCAAAAACTGTCATCCATGCCCAGCGAGACAACAATTTTATGTCTTTTTCAGAATAGAAAAACTATTTCTATTACTGAACATATTGAAATTCATGTTTACCTGAAGTTTTGTTATATTTTAAACATTTCTTCCCCTGCCCAAGAGAACAGATTTCAAGTCAGCTTGTAGCCCTGGAAGTATCGTTTTAAATGAGAACAGGACTAGAGTGATGGCTTAGCAGGTAAAAGCACTTCCTGCCCTTGTAGAGGACCTAGGTCTGGTTCCCGCAAGCAACATGGCAGCCCACAACTGCCTGTAACTCCAGATCCAAAAGATCGTATATGCCCTACACTAAGCATGCATGTGATATGGAGATAGACATGTTGGTAAAACATGAATACATATAAAATTAAAAATAAATTTTTAATGAGAACAAAAGGAGTATGTACTTGATTCCAAACTGAATTAGTTTGTTTAAAACTAAAGATATTTCTCTAACAGATGTGAATTGAAGAAGAAAAAAAATTTTTAAATGTAAGGTTTAAGAGTAACACTCCGGAGGCTGGGAAAGGATCATCATAGGCCCCAGTCCAGCTGGGACTACAGAGTGAGACACTGTCTCAAGCAAACAAAAGATGTAAAGTTGTCAGAGCTATCTGAACACACTATGATCAATGACTGGAACAACAGAGTCAAGGAAAAATAAGACTTTTTGCCAATGTACACCCTCAGGATTCAGTGATCCAACTAACTCAAAAGAAACTATAGATAAGGAATATTTAAATATTTTCTGTAATCCCTTTAAGGTAAAGACTAGCTTTCCCCCCGTAGATAAGTGAAGAACACCATGCAGACCTCTAGAGACACAATAAAGAAAACCATAACTACCTTGCTCACTAATAAAGTTGCCGTTGTTTCACTATAAAAAACATGTATGCCTAAAACCAGGTATGCCTTTGTAAAATGATCACTACTGCACTGCCCAACAATGAGCCAAAGAGAACCACTACAGCCCAGCCCACCCAATGATGGGGTTTCACATGCTTAGAGCCTCAGCAAGCAATGCTCAGCAACAAAACCCTCTAACAAGTTCCAAGTGAATATTGGGAGTCTTTTTATGACAGACTCTGCAATAGTTAAGGATGCCAACATCTTACCTACTAGAATTTACCTTCAATCAACTTCTGGGAGATAGCTCAGGGGGTAAGAGAACTTGTGAAATCAAGAGAAACTATAGAGTTCAAGTCCCCAGCACCCACGTAATAGCTGGTCATGGCTGCGTGTGCCTGTAGACAGTGCTGGGGGCAGAGATGGGTGGACCGCAGGCAGAAGCTCACTGGCTGGGAAAGTGAGGTTTAGGCTCAGTGAGAGACACAGAGGAAGACCCTGACCTTCTCTCCCTTAGGCCTCATCACGCGCATGTGTGTGCCACTCCACCACCTATGTGACCCCTCCCTCACAAAATAATTTGCACCTGTGTACTTTCCCCGCCCTGCTTGTCACAGCATAAATGTTCGCAAATTCCCTCAACTTACACACTTGCTTACTGAAGAATATGGTCCCTATTGTATTATATCAACTTTTCCCCAAGTGCTGGGACTAAAGACATGTGCCACCACTGCCCGATTATCAACTTTTGTTTGTTTCCTAGTGACTCATTTAACAGCAAAACAATAGTTACTTTGTTTATTTCACTTAATGTTTTTTTTTCCTACTCACCCTTTTCACCAGCAGTTACTGCCCTATTCTCTACTCCCTATTATAATCAAGGGTCTCCAAAGTCACGCGTAGTCTCTTCCTATTCCTTTCTTAAATTCATTCCTACCAGACTTTCTACTCTGCTAAAACTTCCTTGTCAGCGTCACCAGGAACCTCTACTCTACTGGGTTCCTACACAACAGGATAGATACATCATAGCATTGATGCAGTTAATGATTCCTGTGACTGTCTGAATGACACTGTCCCTTCTGGGCTTGGGCATCTGAATGTTTGGTTCCCAGCTGGTGATGTTGTTTAGAGAAGTTTAGGAGGAAGTATGCTAGTGGGGCAAGCTTTCAGAGCTCATAATCTCTCTTCCAAGTTCTCATGCTTCATGCCTGTGGTTGAGGATGTGATTTCTCTGCCTCCTGCTCCTGTCATCATGTCTGTTGCCAGGACTCTTAGGAACGTAAGTCAAAACAAATTCTTCTACAAGTCACCTTTGGTGGTGATGTTTCACCGTCTTAGCAACAGGAAAATAGCCTCCTTGGTTCCTATTTTTGTCAGACTTTCAATGTCAATTCACTGTGTTCCTTACCTCACCGACTACTTCTCAATTTCTCTTTGGTAATTTCTTATTTTCTCAAAAACTTACCATGACCTAGAAATCCATCTGATTCTCTTCTGGGTCAACATATACTTACATGTTCACAACCAGTTTTAAGACTTTTGACACCTAAATGCCAAATGGTCCCCAAGTTTACTGCAAATAATTGTCTTTAATTCCAGCTTGTAACCTCAACTGTATACTTGATCATATTTGACTTTTACACCAAACTAAATTACTCACCCTGCCCCCAAAATGTTCTAATAAATCCAGATGTGATGTCTACTAGGAAGGCTATGGCAGAAGGACTACTGCTTAAGCAATTGCACAGATGGAACAACGTGGGAGACCACCTGTCCTAAAACAATGAGCAAACAGAAACTGTTCTTATCACTAAGCAGTCCTATCTCCACCACTCACCCTCTCAGTCCCTCAGGCCTACTATCTTACAGTCAAGTCCCCTTTCTTTTGTAAAGATGATGATGAGTTTTGCTTTGTTTTTTGAGACAGGGTTTCTCTGTATTGCCTTGGAGCCTATTCTGGACCAGGCTGTAGACTAGGCTGGCTCCGAACTCACAGAGATCCGCCTGCCTCTGCCTCCTGAGTGCTGGGATTAAAGGTGTGCACACCAACACCTGGCTAAAGATTACGAGTGTGTACCAGATTACAGAGTCCAGAAAAGGGTGTCAGACCCCCTGGAGCTACAGTTACAGATAGTTATCAGCTGCTTGACATGCTGAAAATTGAACCCTGGTTCTCTGCAAGAACACTGTGTGTTCTTGGTTGATGAGCAATCTCGTTAATCCCAAATCCTGTCTTGGACTCTACCTGACCACTTTCCTCCTCGCTGTCTGAAATACTCCTACCCTACATATCCACAGGCTTACTCTGTTGAAACTTTCCACTCAAGCTCCACTATAAGCAATGGTCAGCTTCTACAATTCTGTCTAGCCTTTAGCATGTCCTATTTCTCTCCAAAGTACATAAACTCCTTTAAAATGTCCCAATTCACTACTTTTCATGTGCTTACTCTAATTTCCTTACCTTAGTCACTGATCTCAAAACCCAACTCCAGAAATTCTTACTGGCTGCCAAATGACCCTAAAAGCACAAAAGCTGACAGAGCAGGTCTCCAATATACCTCAGGTGAAGGGACAGTTACAACTGTACAACCCTCTGCTGGCATGCTCAAACATTAAAAAAAAAAGCAGTTTTAGGGCTAGGGGCATAGCCCAATGTAAAGGGGTGCTTATTACAAAGGAGACCACAGGTGTAATCCACAAACAATCAAAAAGGGTATCTTGAATAATCTTATGTTGGACAATGGGATGCCATGCAATTTGGAGTTAATTTCTGATGCTCCAGAGTGCCTAGAGAAGGGCCCTCTATTTAATGCATAGCACGTGCACAGAGTATGAATGAGACTTCTCTACATTTCTACTTTTAGATTCCTGTACTTCTTTCAGTTAAAAATGAAAATACATCTTTCAAAAAGTTATGTCTTACCGGTAAGTCGGTGAAAGCAATACCTAAAAAGAAAAAAGAAAGGTATTAATTGCTTTTTTCAAAGGCAGGTAACAACAAAAAATTGAATATCTAACTAAAACAAAGGGA